ACCGTTGTTCGTCTATGTCCTCGACTATGGTATCCACGCAATCCAGTTTCCCGATGCACGATCCAACGCCAATGAATCCTCTCCGGTGAAGAAGCTAGGAATCTTCGATCCAGAAAGCTAGAGAGTGTTTTTTGTTTTTACAGCGTATCCATTTTCTCTCATCTAATGATCGTTAAAGACTACCATGAGATAATGACCTATTTATAATTAGGTTAAACTTAATTATATGGGCCTTAAGAAATCCTACAGCCCAATAGGTAATTGGACCTAATCCAGTTTATAATTTTAATTAAGTATAAATCTAATTTAACTCATTAAATATTTTCTGTCAAATAGAAAATTATCTACATTATTAATTAAGTATAAATCTAATTTAACTTAATTAAATATTTTCCATCAAATAAAAAATAATCTCATTACTCATAAATAAATATTCCAATCTAATTGAATATTCAACACTCTCGACTCACTCTTAGTCGGAAAACTGATTTCATATTGTGTGACCCTATAGGCCTTCATATATTGACGAACTCAAAATATGAAGTACGTTTACATGGACAAACAAACAAACCTTTAGTGTAGAACTCAATGATGATACGGTCCCTTCATTCACGAACTACTCGATTAAGCTTAGGGTTTGAATGTGTGTCTATCCAAACAGCTTAATCATTTTATCTCATCTTACTGGTTGAACACCCTTTCAAATATAATCACGTGCATTGACCAATGACTTTATCAACCCAATATAGAGAAAATGAGTGTTCTCTCGAAACTATATTCGAGGAATAAATCCTTTCTTGGCTCAACTACCAATTCCATGTATATCATGATCTACCCAACACAAGCCCGTGTCTACCCATAAGAGCGTAAGCGTTGGACTAGGTCTAAGTAAATCACTCTATACATGAATTGCGTATTGATCTCAAGTCAAAGGACTATTACACCGTTCCACACACTGATACTTCCATAGACACATAAACAAATGGTTTATCGGTAGGGTATGTCAATACTCTCCAAAGTATCCATGTGTCCATCACGAATAACAATTATTCATAGCAGTGAGACATACTATATTCTCCAAGAATATGATGCAGACCACATGTCAATCTATCGCGTATCATTAATATCCCTTTCTTAATGATCATCGATTGAGGTGATTTTAGAGTTATACTTTATCAATTAACATCTCACTATGCTAATGACAGTATCAACTCAAGGGAGCAATTAATTAATAAATTGCAAACAATCAAACAATTATTTAATTAATTACAATACCATAATTATAATCCAATATAATTATTAATGTGATCATGTATATATGTCCTTAAAATGATTGTCTCTTGGACACATATACCAACGCATATGCTATAACTTTCAAAGATTCAAGATTATGGACAATATACATATTATAATAGCAATAAAAAAAATTATTTAATTTAAGAGTTTCATATATAACCCAAATCATCGCATAACAAGGATATGTTCCACTAATTAAACCGAATTGAACAGATCCAGTCATTTGGTCGAACAGAGAATGCGGACTACGCAAGTTGAAGGATATCCAGGTGGAAAAAGATGTCAAAAGGGCATAGAAGATACCAACAAGTCGAATTAGGATCCTTGGATGGCTTGATTGAAGATTGACATGAAGGAGCATTTGATCGAATGATCGACCAGAAGGGCGTAACTGCAGAAATCAACATCAATGGTACTCTATCTAGAGGTAATCGGGTTGGTCGCGGTTAGACCGTCTAATGAAGAAGATTAAAAGATAAAAGGAATATTATGGTGATTAAACCTCCACGTGGATAGTACCACGTGGCCTAACAAAATTGAGCAATCCGGGTAGCTCGAGCAGTACGAACGGGTATTTTGGGCGGCCCGCACGGGCATGCTTGGGCAACTAGGTATCTATGTGATTCTTATAATTTTTAAAAGGATTACTTTTATACTTTGACTTCTTTAGATATAAAGTGTTTACTGTTTAGCTAGTGATTTTTATTTCGAGTCGAGTACCTCATATTTGAACTCGTGCTCCTTCAATAGCGTCCTTCTACAGGTGCCACTCGAGTCGAGCGAGCCGAATATCTCATCTACGAAAGAATTAAGCTTGAGCTTTCACGAGCTAAATTTAAGTGTGTTTATGAACACATCAGTAGAATATTCTTTTACAAAAGATGAGAATCAATTGATTCTTATCTGTAAACAACCCCCAAGTCCAGCAGTACTACACCATGATTACTCCTTGTCAAAGTAGGCTTAATCCCAATTCCAAATGACAAATACCAAAAAAATAAATAAATAAATAAATAAATAAATAAAATAAAAAAAGAGCTACAAATATGATTTAAAAAATTGAACATTTTATGCGTTACACATTCCAAAAATTGAAAAAAATTCACCAATACAAAGGTCAACCAAGAGATTCACAGCATCAGAAGAGCTTTGAAAATCACTACATTGTATTTATCTACCAACTTTTTTTATAGCCCTTTTCATATTTTAATCTTGAAAGAGGTAGTTAATGTCAAACTCAATATTTAATATTATTCTTAATAAACAAAACACTTCCCAAGTAATTCCAAGCTACACTTTCCTTTATAAACTCAGCCTGATATTTCAAGTCACACATAACATTTCTTCATTAATTCTTACTAGAAATACACACAAAATGGTCCGAAAGCCGTTTGATCATCAGCCGAAGCAGAAGTTCAAGAAGGGTTTGTGGTCACCCGACGAAGACCAAAGGCTGAGAAAATATGTGCTCAAATATGGCCATGGCTGCTGGAGTTCGGTTCCGGCCAATGCTGGTAAGTTGAGGTCATTTTTTCATGTGTCACAAGTAAATAAAATTTAAATAAAAACATTGATATATATATTTATGTATAGATAGTAAAATTACATTATTTCTCCTTGTATTGTAAAGTTTTATTTCAAGCATAATGTAGTTACATTTTGGCACATTTGATGGTGAAAATTGCTACATTTTCAAGTTCAATAATAAAAGAATACTAAAATATAGGGATATAATTGATTTAATGACTTACCAATAAATTTTATTTTATATGAAAAAAAATATAATGTTATAATTATCTCTTACTAATCCTATTGGTCGTTTTATTTACTTTGCTGGCAGGTTTACAGAGGAATGGAAAGAGCTGTAGATTAAGGTGGATTAATTATCTACGGCCTGGATTAAAGCGTGGGGCTTTTAGTTTAGAAGAGGAGGAGACAATCCTGGCCCTTCATCAAATTTTAGGCAACAAGTAAGAAAAACTATTAAATTTTTCTACCTGATTTTGTCTACTTGAAAGATATTAATTCCAATTATAATAAAATTATAGGGACCAAAATAAAAATAATTTCCTGTATGCTTTTGATTTATTTTTATACTTATGCTAATTAATAATAATTAAACTTTTTTTCAGGTGGTCTCAGATAGCACAGCATTTACCTGGAAGAACAGATAACGAGATTAAAAACCACTGGCACTCTTACCTCAAGAAAAGGGGTCACCACACCACAGTTAAAAATGAAGTCCAGGTTAAAGTTGAAAAAGAGCCCATCATCAATAATGGAGAACTAATCCAAGTTCTAGAACATTCTTCACCTCCGTCGCTCGAGTTTGTTCCTCACAATTCCGGCTTAGAATCTTTCCAGAAACCGGAATCGTTAATAAACGACACAAACGAGCAGAAAACAAGCTGGTCGAGTGGACCAAAATGCAATTTACCCAAAGTTCTCTTCGCCGAGTGGCTTTCAGTCGACCATTTTCCTGTCCAAGACACGGGAAGCTTAAGTTCGGACAGCTCGGCAGATTTTAAACACGTGCTCGAGAACAATAACTCAAGTTCGGAAGATTCTTGGAATCTTCTCAACGAGCAACCGAACGGTGTCATGGTTGATGATTACGGGTTTCAATTCTCGTCGTTCGGTTATTTCTCGGAAAATGCTCCAGTCGATTATTTTTCGGGACAGTTCAACATAAACTGTGATGGCATATATATGTGAATAAATTGAGCAAGTTCAGGGAAGAATAATTTATAAATTTCATTTTCTTTTTTTACTATAAAATTGCCATAAAACGAGTGTCATGTTATTGTAGTTAGTTGTTGGTTATTCTTCCATTGAAGTTGCTTTTCCTTTACTTGTCAGGAATTTTCAGGATCAGATGATTATTATGTAATAAGTTCATCAATGAAAATATGTTCGTGTTAAATTAGATGCATCGTGTCAAAACAAGTAACCAAGTTGGAGACTTGTATGACACTATGTAGGAATGGTACAATAACACGAATAACAAAATATATCAGCTCAAACTGAATTTTTTCGAATAATAAGACTTATTTTAAAAAAAAAAAATGGTCTGATTAAGTGTTAGTGAAATTTTAAATTTATATTATATATAATAATATTTATAAAAAAAAAAGTAAATAAGTTTATTTAATATAAAAGTAGGAGAAATATTATGTGAAAGTAATGATAAGTTAAAAGGATTAGTGAATTAAAAAGATTATGTGAAAGTGATGATAAATCAAAAAGATTAGTCAATTATATTGATCGATCCCAAATTAAACTTTGTCAACCCAACTTTAACTCTTAAAATTCTATCAAAACAACCAATAAACCATCAAGGAGATGCCCAATAGCAAGACCACATAAATTAAATGAAAAGGCTAGTAACACATGAATCCAAAAATCATAAACAAACGCAGAAACCTCTATTAAAAAGTATCCAAACGACAAACCACAAATGTTTTCCTCAGCAGCGTAAAGGGTAAATGCCCATCACATATCAAAAAAGGAAACATAAAACCGACACAAAGTTCAAAAACTCAGCGAAAAAGACAGCAAGATAGCACACCACCGCCTGTCGAGAACCCAATTCTGGGAATGGCTCCCCAACGCGCAAGGCAGATATAACCAACATAATAAGTCTAACATAACCACAAAAGTAAAAGCAAAGTTCACAAGCAAGTACTTATTTCGAGCAGCATCATCATAATCAGAGCCCATACCACCACCAACCAGCACGCTTCATTTGGCACCCTTCTTCGCAGCGGCCTTGGTGACCTTAGCCCCAGATGCATCCTTCTTCTCCACGCTCTTGATGACTCCAACAGCAACAGTCTGCCTCATGTCACGCACAGCAAAACGACCAAGAGGCGGGTACTCAGCAAAAGTCTCCACAACCATGGGCTTAGTCGGGACCATCTTCACAAATCCAGCATCACCGTTCTTCAAGAATTTGGGCTCCTTCTCAAGCTCCTTACCAGACCTCCTGTCGATCTTGGTCACCAGCTCAGCAAATTTGACAGCAATGTGGGAAGTGTGGCAGTCGAGCACAGGAGCATAGCCCTGACCAATCTGCCCAGGGTGATTCATGATGATCACTTGGGAGGTAAAGTTGGCAGCTTCCTTAGCAGGATCGTCTTTCGAGTTGGAAGCAACATAACCACGCTTCAAGTCCTTCACAGCAACATTCTTCACATTGAACCCAACATTGTCACCAGGAAGAGCCTCCTGCAAGGCCTCGTGGTGCATCTCAACAGACTTGACCTCAGTAGTCAGGCCTGAGGGCCCAAATGTGACTACAGTCCCAGGCTTCAAAACACCTGTCTCCACACGGCCGACAGGGACAGTACCAATACCTCCAATCTTGTAGACGTCTTGAAGAGGGAGACGAAGGGGCTTGTCCGATGGCCTCTTGGGCTCGTTGATCAAGTCTAGGGCCTCGAGGAGGGTCGGGCCCTTGTACCAGTCAAGGTTGGTGGACCTCTCAATCATGTTGTCTCCCTCAAAGCCAGAGATGGGGATGAAATTGATCTTGTCGGGGTTGTAACCAACCTTCTTGAGGTATGACGAGACCTCCTTCACAATCTCATCATACCTTGACTTGGAATATTTGGGTGTGGTGGCATCCATCTGTAAAAGTTTCAGCACACAAACTTAAAAACACTACACAACAAACAGAGCCCTTGGAAGAAACTAAGAGAAAACAATTTTCACAAAATTTACAAACCTTGTTACAGCAGCAGATCATCTGCTTGACCCCAAGGGTGAAAGCAAGCAAGGCATGCTCACGGGTCTGGCCGTCCTTGGAAATACCAGCCTCAAAGCCACCAGTTGTGGAATCAATGATGAGAACGGCACAATCAGCCTGGGAGGTGCCAGTGATCATGTTCTTGATGAAATCACGGTGTCCAGGAGCATCAATAACTGTGCAGTAGTACTTGGTTGTCTCAAATTTCCACAGGGCAATATCGATGGTTATGCCACGTTCTCGCTCAGCCTTGAGCTTGTCAAGAACCCAGGCATACTTGAAGGATCTCTTGTTCATCTCAGCAGCCTCCTTCTCAAACCTCTCAATAACTCGCTTGTCAATTCCTCCAAGCTTGTAGATGAGGTGTCCAGTGGTGGTAGACTTCCCAGAGTCGACATGGCCTATGACCACAATGTTGATGTGAGTCTTCTCTTTACCCATGCTGAACGTTCACACTGCATCATTTCACAGTAATATATAATATAGTGTAGACATTCTAGCAATAAGTTCAACTTATGAGAGAAAATCAACTCCACAAATCCCACACAACAAATGTAATTTCAGATGGCAATAACAGAAAGACAGAGAAAAGAGTACAGTCTGAAACAAATGAAAGATGAATTCCACAAAAACAAAGCATCGTAAGTAGATTTTATAATCCAGAATTAATAAAGAATCATAATCCCAGGAAACACAGAAGGATAGATCGACACATGCAACAACAGAATCCAACTCATAAAATCAAATCAACATTCAATAACCAGATCAATGAGCTATTAACGTTCAGATCAACACAAACGCATAACACACATCAGATAAAGATAGAGCGTAACAAGTTTCTAACTAAAAACAATTTAGCTAGATTATAATTCAACAAAAATTTACACAGAATATAGATCTACAGGATAGGATAAGACCAATTATCATCACATCTCAACAACCTTTTCCAAAAGAATGGCTAAAATTCATCATAATCTAACACAAATTTACGTAGATCTATCAGAGACGATGAAATCGATTGTTCAACGTAAACAGAGAGTTGAGCTTACAAAATCTTGAAACGCAAACAGAGATCTACCAGAGATGCTATGATCAACACACATCTGAGATAATCAAATCGAGAAAATAAAAATATACACCAGAAATTCCATACAAACACGACGAACTCTACTGCATATGATACAAAACAAACGTATAACTATCGAATGATGAAAGGATTTATCACCTTTGGCTATGGCAGCAGTTGAATACGGAGCACTCTTTCACTGGCTGCTGAAGGGAGATGGCGAAAATGAAATAGTTGTGGACAGGTGATGAGCTTATATAGACGTGTAGTCAAAGTGGGGCGATTAGGGTTTTTGTTATACCGTTGGATCAACGGCTCCAACGGATAGGATTGAGGGAAAGTTTATGAGTAAATAATATATAAAAAAATCTAGGGAATGTTCCATCAAAAGATCCAATTTTAAGAAATTTTAAAATTTTTAATGTTTCACTTTTAATTTATTTTCAATATCCTTATAATTTATTTTTTGTTGTAATATAGATTGTCAATATGTGAGATAGACAAGATAGACAAAGAGAGAAAGTAGTAAAAGAGAAAAAGAGAGAAGAGATACGCCGTCAAAACTCTCATCTTATACATTCACTTGAGCCCTATATATAAGGGAATACAATGTACATGACTAAAAACATAATGGGCTTCTGGCCCATACCTACAAATCCTATATCTAGGTAATGTCCATAAATTAATATTTACAACACTCCCCCTTGGACATTACCGCATCATGTCTATGCCTCGTTAAAAACCTCGCTGCAAAACCCTGTAAGAAAAAGCAGTCGAGGAAAAGAGTACATAACATATGCAAATTTATGTGTTACACATGCTGCCTCGTTAAAAACCTCACTAAGTAAAACCCAATGAAAAAAAACTTAGTCAAGGGAAAAAGAGTACAGCACCGGCCAACAGGGCCTAATTTTCAGGATTATAATTAACCTTCCGGGTTCGATCTTCGAGATTTATTTATCGCTCTCCCTGAAGGGAAAACCTTTTTAGTTACATTCATAATAGTATGTTGCTCCCCCTCAAGGTAAGAGTTTCTAACATAAAATCGTCATTTGTTGCTCTTCGGGAGTTGATATAGATTCAAAAATATCATCAAATGTATTTATATAATTTATTTGTGTAACACAAACTAAGTTATCTTCAGGATAAATATGGGGAAATTTTAATGACCAATGGTAAAGAGTTAATACCATTTGAGAGGTATATAACCAATTGAGGACCCATACTTCGGGGATCAATTATATAATTGATGTCCTTATCCACCAATATCATATATCAAGTCCAAAGATAACTCAACATACATGAAGAATAATGGGATATTCTCAATATTTATCACGATATCTCTCTAATGAGAGATTTAATAAATCTTGCCAGCAAATTCATCACAAATTCAATATCAGGTCTGATGCAGTTTGCGAGATAAAAGTTCAGCACAATTGCGCTTAATAAATAAACTTCATGTCGTTTGTGGACTTCAAGTCCATTTGGAACTGCAGGTCCTATAATATCCTCATTTGTTTCTTTGGATCTTTGTCAAATTCCAAATATTTGACACTCATTGGTGTTATAATTTTACATCTCTAAAAGAGATTCAAGTAGATTGGTTGGGTTAAAAACATTCCTTCTAGGAGATGCTCGATCTACAAGTCGAGATAATACTCTTTGGTATTTAACCAAAAGTTTCATTCTTACTCCGTCTATAAGCATGAGCTAACTTATTTAATCTTTTACATAGTGTTCACCACATAGTCTATTTGACCGAGATGATCATTTTGTATATTATCATTATACACAAGGTTCTACCTTGAATTTTTCTTACTTTACTTCTTCTGGAAGAATTTAGTTGGTTGTACCACATCTTACCAACAACTTCAAATAAATAAGCTATTTATTATTTAATTA